TGTATGCTGGACGAGACTGGGTTAGTTCATTGAGTACTGAGAATGCTTTGTTTGCTGGTGTCGGCTAGGACACCGATAATTGTAAGTGCAATGATTTTTTAAATAAAAGAAGGTTTTAATAGTAATGCAGCATGAGTTTCTATTCTCTTATATCCCGAGTACTGTTCTGAACATCTGCGGAGGCGGGGACTACTAAAGAGTTTTTACCATATTGCCGAGTATTCCCTGCAGAGTATTGCTCCCTGATTCTAAGGATAGAGTCTACAGTGCTGTTCATTCTCCTGCAGAGTATTGCTCCCAGAGCAGAAAGCGCTTACACTGATTTATAATTTGATCAACATATTGCTCTGGTGAGTTCATTTAATGTATCTGGTGGTGGATTTTGTGCACAGTGAATTTTGTTGGACACTGGAGTTTCTTTGAACAATATCGTGACACAAAGTTATATTAGTGTTTGGACTTTATATTATTCAGCATTTATTTTGGACACTGATTATATGTTGTTGATACATTCATAATTTTATATTTTTATAATATGAGCGCAACCTGTGTTTTCACTATTATATGCACCTTTTCAGGTTAGGCTTTGCAGCTTATATAATTTTATATACATTTTTTTTCACTAGAGTAATATATATTTTTCTGTGGCGCTATCCAATATTTTTCCGATTTGTATGCTTTTTGTAGAACCACGCCCATATTAAATTAATGCTCTGCCCCTAAGTACATGCTTCGCCTCCAGTGGCTTTCTAGACACACAGAAAAAAAGGTGTCCCTAAAAACGTTTTTTGAAATGTTGGCAATCATGGAATAGTAGGGTGTATACAATATCTCAAAATATCTTAACGTATTTTGCCACATCAAACACTTCATAAAAATTCTGAATATGCACTGTACTTCAAAGTGCAACAGCCAATGCAAGACAGATATTGGAGTGGTGTAAATCTTCAGACAGATGGTGAGCCCTGATTCATGCATATGAAAATTTGGATGCGTTTTGAACTGCACTGAATTGCATGACAGCCAAAAAAAATAGTTTTCTGTGGAGCCCGCTCAGATACCTACGGGCCAGCCACAATGCGATTTTGAAAAGGGTCCTGTGCGATTTTTAGTGCAGTGCGGGTGCGATTTCCAGCCTGATACACTTTATTAATTGGCATTGGAATCGCACCTACACCATCTGAAGAAAATTGCAACGCATGGGTCATTAAAACTGCATTGCATCCCGCACTACAAATATGTGAACCCAGGCTCAGAGAAAATGCTGTGAATATAATTATAGCTAATAGGCCTATGATCAATATAACTATGGGCAAGCTGAGTACAAACACAGTCCACACAAGTTACAGGAAAAAATCTAAACATTTAGGGTTCTTTCACATGGGGCGGACTCGTTTAGCGGATCCACTTGCTCAGCGGGGGATCTCTCTGCTGATCCCCACTGAGCAAGCGGATGACAGCTCTGTGTCTCCTCCACTGCTGCAGAGCAGACACAGAGCTGCTCGCTGTCCTTAATGGGTGGTCAGATAAAAATGAACCACCTGTCCATTTTCATCAGACCCAATCCAATGGACGGAAGGGGAATTGGATCCCCATTCATTATTTTTTGGTGTATCAGATCGGATCAGATGCCTGTGGGTGTAAACGCTTACACCTGCTGCTCCATAGAGGAGAATGGAGGTTCCGATTGGGTCCGCCTGAAAAACGGGCAGGCGGACCTGATCGGAACGTTCTTGTGAAAGAGCCCTTAAAGTCAGACATCATTCAGAGATAGATAAACCACTATCAGGCACAAGCAAGCAGATAAACCTGTTGATCAGGCATATGCTTAAGTTCTGGCCTTGCTTTCAAGCCTTCTAATGAAGTCAGGTGTGCTCAAGGGAGACCTGAGCTGCAGTGCTAAACAACAACCAGCAGATAGATTCAAAGTTGATTTTCAACACATACAGAATAGGTGGTGTCATGGATCTCTGGTGCCACATGTATGCACACCTGTGTTTATGATGGAAGTGTGCTCCATAGTGCACCCCCTTCATGGAGACTGAGCTGTGAATGACAGCTCCTGGTGTCCTACTAATGATCAGGAGCTGAGAAGACTGGATTGGCTATGATAGTGCTCATGAGCTGTAAAACCCACCCCTGTACTCTTTCACCTTTAAATTGAGGAAAAGATACATTGTATCATTTTTTCCACACTGGAGGAGAAGAATATAAACAAAAAGTATGTGCAAATAAAATAAAACAAAATAAAAAAATCTAAAAAAGGTAGATCATGGCTTGTGTCAGTGCCAGTGTGTTATACGTATGATTAATTAAAAAATGTATAAATCCTCATGCACACTGAACATTTTGATAACGCTGGTAACGTTAGCTGTGTAAAGTCACATACAAACGTGAGTTTTTAAGCTTTCTTTAGAGTTTTTGCATTAGTGTTTAACAGCGTTTTGCCACGTTTAGCAGAATTTTCCAGTGTTTTTCATCGGTTGTGTTTTTAGCGTTATTTAGCATTTTCTTGACCAAAAAACAGTTTTTTGGTTAAGAAAATGATAAAAAACACTAACAATGCAAATTGTCCAAAAACGCCGGTTTGTGGCGTTTTACCACGTTTTTCAGCATTTTTCAGTGTTAGAGTATTTTTACAGATAAAAACTCCTCTAGAAACCCACTAGTCCTGGGTTTTTTTTTAGAGCCAAAAAAACATCCCAGACAAAAAAAACGTTGATTACAGTCCATGTGTGCATGGGCACATAGGATAACATGCTGGAAAGTTTACTAGCTGTAGAAAAAAAAAGTCAAAAGCCAAAAAGAGCAGCTGTAAAAATGTCCAGTGTGCATGAGGACTAAGTGTACATGTCAGTGTGTTTTAAATAAGATGAAAAGCACAATGTGCAGACCATTTTTTATTCTAGGATTACTATTTATCCTGAAAAAAAACAGGTCTCATCAATCTGGATACACTAAGTAAATTAAATGATATGTATAGTTTTACCAACACATATCAAAGTTGCAAAATTGGGTTCAGGCGCTAAGGTTTGATTTACCTTCCATCATAAAGAGATTACAACATGCATGTTTTTCTCTGTTTGTTTTAGATGTTGGTTGAAGTTTGAGTTAAATATTTCAGTGAAATATAAGTAGTATTACCCAGGTATTTTTCATTAGGCATTAATCTATTATTTCCAAAAAAGTGCCGCTAACTGGAGACCTTCTATAATAAGTACAACGTTAGAAGATAATTCAGTTGTGCCATCTATTTCTTTATAAATGAAAGTGGTTTAAACAATTTTCTAGTAATGTATACTGCAGGCTGAAATGCCTGCATCAGTCTTACGGTGCTTATCCTAAAAATGTTGACCTATCAGATCAGAGCACAGTATACTCCTGACTTTGTTTAAATTATGCATAGTTACAAGGAATTTTGTAAGTCGCTAAAGCGTTGTGGACCTTGATCTCGACATTGAAGGAGCCTGTCCAAATGATATCCACGGTAAATGTATATTAAATTCCAATGTCCTCCATTATCTGTACTATCCGTCTGCTGTAAATCTCATAAAACAGTGTCATATAATCCCAGAGAAGTAGACTTCAACACAGCTAGGAAAATATACTTGTGACATGAGTATGCATTACAAATTGAATCAGAACTGCAAGATGAAGAATTCCCCTGGGGTGCTTGTGTTTTAGAAGATGCTGAGGAAATCCAAGAGGCTATTTCACACATTTCTGGCTTACTTCCTCATATTTAGCTCTTAAAAATAGAAATGTGAGCCTGCAAGATTGAACTCTTTCAGAAAGTGATATGAGGTCTGCATAATCTAAATGACATTCTGAAGACTGTCCGGCGGTGATCTTTGTTCACCAGTGGCTGACCATGATTTAAAGAAGGTGAATCTCTGTATTTAACATGTAACAGACCGTCTGCCGAGCTTACTAAGTAACAAAACACATTGAAAGCTGACTTGACACGTATCTGCCATGTTTCTATTTTTAGAGAATGTAGATAAAAAAAAAATCAAAAGATTGATCAGATATGTGGCATATTCCAAATTAGGAATAAGGGTTATAGCTTCATACATATCAATATATTCAAGGTCATTCTTTGCTTAAGACAGTGTAAATTCTTGTATTGAGCAGATGCATCAACAGCCAGGATATTGGAGAATAATGGAAGGAATGAGGCATTGAAAAGAGATCGTGCTGCCTCCAGAATATTCTGCATCCAACTATTCTGGGAGTGTTACAGTAGATGTCTGGTGCCCATCTGTGCTCTGTGCTTCCATCTACCAGATACCTATGTCATTACAGCAAATACAGTATTAGTGATGAAGGAGCCAGCAAATAAAAGCACAGTATGCAATGGGGAACCAGACATCTGACATATCTGAAAGTATGTCTGATGGAGAAGATTCTCCAGCAGAGGTATGTCTTTAACACAGAGCATTGAGTACTTTAGATCGTAAAATTTGAAATTCCACTTATCCTTGCAAGAAAAGTTATAACTGTTTTAAAACCAAAAATACTTTAAAAGGGTATTTGGAAATTTTTAAAATGCATTCTCTGCATCTGGTAAGCTCCTGAGTCTTGGGGTACCAGGGGCGGACTGACCATTTGGAAACTCGGGCACTGCCCGAGGGCCCGGGGTCAGTAGGGGGCCCCATGATATGCCCCTAGTACCTTTTTCATAGGTTTTTATGAGTTTGGGCAAGGACACAGGGGCCCCATGATCCCATATTGCCCGGGGCCCCATGAGTTGTCAGTCCGCCCCTGTGGGGTACACTATACAAAGGATCTTACGTTCTGCCCAGACTTAGAGGCAAGCCCCCAGAGCTAATCTCCTTCATCTAACTGTCCAAAGCAGGAGGCCTCAATGGCTAAAATAGGCTTTTATCTTGCAATTATGATTGCTGGTAGGAGGAGGTGTTGGGTTTTATACCTCATTTCCAAGGCTTAGTCAGTCTATCATCATTATTCATAGTGATTACTGCCCTTCATAGAGCCATTTTTCTTAACCTCCCTGGCGGTATTCCCGAGTGTAGCTCGGGGTAAAGTTTCAGTACCAAAAGCGGTAACCCCGAGATACACTCGGGCTTACCATGCAGCGCTGCTCCGTGATCATTCGATCACTTACCTTCTCCTGTGCTCCCGCGATGTCCCTCCTGCAGTGTCCCTGGCAATGTAATCCAGCGGATGCCGGCATCTGTCATCTGGGTTCTGTCCCCTGCGAGCGTCGGGATGTATGGGGGACGGAACAGCGGGAAGTTTGAAAATGACAAAAAGTGACATTCACTAAAATCACATAGTAAAACATTACTGTATCAAACCATTTCACATACATTTTGTCCCGAGTGCTTTGTCCTGTGCCCTGCCTGCATTTTTACTGTTTTTTCTGCCTGGAAACTGAGAAACGTCCATGGCGTCCAAAAAACGTCCCTTTATGTCAAAAGCGATTTTAGACCAGCATGAGAACAGCAATAGTAAATCAGAACCACTTGCAGAATTGAGTGATAATGATTCATGGGGAAATTCGTCATCAGACTCTGAAAACGATTTTGTGACTTTGCTCAGTGATGTGCAAACTTGGCGCTATATTTCAAATTTCAGTGTTTTTGGTTTGATTATATTATTGAATTAAATGTAGTATTATATTATTATTTTTTATGATTATTTATTAAATTATAATTTATGATTTTGTGTTTCAAATTTTATCATACCCGGGATGTTTACTAGATTCTTGTTCGGACAGATTTCAGTGAGTTATTCCTAAAAATTACAGCCTACAATAAAAAAAAACATATTTCCATGCAAAAAAATGTACCGCTTTGAGCACAGAAATATGGACATAATCAGACCGTTAGGGAGGTTAATTCACAAAAGCACATGTTCTGATGCCATGAACCAAACAGATGTCATTTAATCGGTCTTGATTTTTTGGTATGTGTCAGTTGTGTTTTTTTAAAGGAAAAAATATATTAAAAAAATTAAGGACATTTTGATTTTGATGCAGTTTATCAATTGTTAATATTTAGGCTACACAATGGACCATATCTAATACATCTTCTTTCTTCTTCTCTATCTTGAAACAGAATAATATGTTTTTAATACATATTCAGATCAGAGTGGATGCCATAGTTGCCCCGCTGATACAGTTGTGTCCAAAATTATTCAACCCCCAATGCTGTAAAGGGGTTTAGGGACTATAGTGTACATTTGGAATTGTCTTCAGAATCAAATCCTACAAGGACGTTGTATGGGTACTACCCAATGCAACTAAAATGATCAATTGTTTATGTAATACAGTAGTAAATGGTTCTTATGTGGTTTCTTTCATTGCCACAATTATTCAACCCCTTAAAGACTGCACCCACTCTGAAGAACAGAGCTTTCATACAGGTGCTTTCCATCAGGTATTGAAAACACCTGTGGATGTCACCGAGCAATCAAGCATAATAAGCACCAATTAGGCAGCTTTTAAAATGACTGTGATACTCAGTCCTTCTAACATTTACTGGTGTGGTTACAAACATGGTGAAGGCAAGAGAATGGTCCAGGAAGACAAGAGAAGAGGTGATTTCTCTTCACAAAGGGCAATGGCTATGAGAAGATTGCAAAGATGTTAAACATACCAAGAGGACACCTTAGGAAGCATCATTCGCAAATTCAAGGCAAAGGGCACTGTTGAAACGCTACCTGGTCGTGGCAGAAAGAAGATGCTGACTTCGACTGCTGTGCGCTACCTGAAGCGTACTGCACTGAGTGGAGGAGAAGTCCCCGTGTGACTGTAATCACTGAGGAACTGATAGACAGACTGAAAAGATTTGTCAGATGTGGGTACTGAAGTTTCAGGGACAATAAGACGCACACTGCGTAATGAAGGCCTCCGTGCCAAAATTCCCAGGCGTACCCCCTTGCTGTCTCCAAAGAATAAGAAGAGTCGACTGCAGTATGCCAAAAGCCATGTGGACATGTAACCACAAAAGTTGTGGGATAGTGTTCTGTGGACTGATGAAACAAAATTAGAACTTTGGGCCCATGGATCAAACGCTATGTTTGGAGGAGGAAGAACAAGGCCTATGAGAAAAGACACCTTGCCTACTCATTTGAAGCATGGTGGAGGGTAAATCATGCTTTGGGGCTGTTTTGCTTCTGCAGGTACAGGGAAGCTTCAGCGTGTGCAAGGTACCATGAATTCTCTTCAGTACCAGGAGATATTGGATGGAAACGTGATGCAGTCCGTCACACACCTGAGGCTTGGGAGACGTTGGACCTTTCAACTGGACAATGATCCCAAGCATACCTCCAAGTCCACTAGAGCATGGTTGCAGAGGAAAGGCTGGAACATTTTGGAGTGGCCATCGCAGTCACCAGACTTAAATCCGATTGAGAACCTCTTGGGACTTAAAGAAAGCAGTTGCAGTGCGCAAGCCTAAGAATGTGACTGAACTGGAGGCCTTTGCCCATGAAGAATGGGCGAAGATACCCGTAGATCGCTGCAAGACACTTGTGTCAAGCTATGCTTCACGTTTAAAAGCTGTTAAAACTGTAAAAGGATGCTTAGTGTACTAAGTACTAAGATTGAATGTCACTTGGGGGTTGAATCCTGATAATGCTGTGAGCACAGAAAACCATTTGTGGTTATTTCATGCAACCCAAAACTGTTATGTTATATTTGTCTGACCTACAAGTGCCTCTTTAATGTAAATGTAAGCAAGATGACTGAATGATCAAAAGCAATGTCAAACTGGCCAAAACACTCAATTTCAGTGGGGGTTGAATAATTTTGGACACAACTGTATCTGGCAAACACTACAAATGTGAAAGAGTGAAAGAGTGCCAATGAATAATCCTTTCTTGTTTGCCTCACTTCTTCCCATGGATATAGAGCAGAGTCTTGGTTATGGGTATTTGGCAGAGCCTTTTTTTCTGTTGACGAAATGTTCAGAACTCTTAACCACTTGCCTACCAGGTACTTTCACCCCCTTCCTGCCCAGACCAATTTTCAGATTTCAGACTATTGTGCAGAAATATCACTGCACCCATTTTTTTACACAAATGGAGCTTTCTTTTGGTGGTATTTAATCACCACTGGGTTTCTATATTTTTTTGTTAAACAAAAAAAAGACCAACATTTTGGGAAAAAAAAGTTTTTCTTAGTTTTCTAAAATGTTTTTTAAACAAGTAATTTATCTCCTTCACTGATGTGAGCTGATGAGGCTGCACCAATAGGCGGCACTGATGGGAACTGATAGACAGCACTGATAGGTGACACTGATGAGGAGGCACTGATGGGCACTGACAGACATCACTGATGAGCACCGTCAGGCATCGCTGATGAGCACTGATAGGTGTCACTGATGAGTACTAATAGACTGCACTGATGAGGAGGCACTGATAGATGACAGTGATGGGCACTGACAGTAATCACTGATGGCCACTGATAGACAGTACTGAAGGGCAGAACTTATGGGCACTGATGGGGCTGCACTGATAATCAGGGCACCAATGATCAGTGCCCTGATTATTAGTGTAGATGTCTTCTCTAAAAATTGCCACTTATCGCTCTCCTCTCCTCACACGCTGTCAGGAGTGCCGATAACTGGCATTTCCTGTTTACATGTAATCAGCTGTGATTGGACACAGCTGATCACATGGTAAAGAGCTTACATCATCTGCTCTTTAACGCAATTGGTGATCTCCCAGAACAAGAGAGCTCCCGCCCATCCATCATTTGTCAAAACAGTGGGTGGGGGGTGGTTAAAGGTAATAATAAATGGTGTGATGCCTGATGAAATACCTAGTCTTCACTGTTTTTCACAGCCAAATGAATAGATCTACCCTCACCTCAGTATGGCTGTGGCAGACAGGGGTTTATTTACTAAAGCTGGTTCGCTCAGAATCTGGTGCAGCTGTGCATGGTAGCCAATCAGCTTGTAACCTCAGCTTGTTCAATTAAGCTTTAGCAATAATACCTGGAAGCGGATTGGTTTCTATGCAGAAGTGCACGAGATTCTGAATGAACCAGCTTTAGTAAATAAACCCCTCAGTGACCCCAGCTTGTCTATGAAATCAACTTTTTGGAAATATTGCTACACAGGATACACTAGCACTTGCAGTCACCAGTGTACTCTGCTTAGTGATGATAGGCAGGTAAACAGCCCAACCTCTTAGTCTACCTCAGTGCCTTTTGTGGACATGTTGGGTTTCCTCTAGAGCAGCGATGGCAAACCTTTTAGAGTCCGAGTGCCCAAACTGCAACCCAACCCATTTATTTATCACAAAGTGCCAACACTGCAATTAAACCTGAATACTGAGGTTTTAGTTTAGAACAAAACAACCCACTGACCACCAGCAAAGTTCCACTGACCACCAGCACAAGGGGGCAAAGTTCCACTGACCACCAGCACAAGGGGGCAAAGATCCACTGACCACCAGCACAAGGGGTCAAAGTTCCACTGACCACCAGCACAAGGGGTCAAAGTTCCACTGAGCACCAGCACAAGGGGGCAAAGATCCACTGACCACCAACACAAGGGGGCAAAGATCCTCCAACCACCAGCACAAGGGGTCAAAGTTCCACTGAGCATCAGCACAAGGGGGCAAAGTTCCACTGACCACCAGCACAAGCTATAATCTTGTGTTAATAAAAACGAATATGTTAAAACTCACATCCCAGTCCAATATATATATCTTTGGCCGCGCACTCACTGGCCAAATGAAAGCTTGAACGAGTCGCGGCTAATGTGTAGTGGCTCATGACATCATCACTGCTACTCCTTTCTGAGCATGAGCATGCACTGTTATCCGATGCTCGGCTGCTGGGGCGATGCTGGGGTGACTTGGCTTGTGTACCAACAGAGAGGGCTTTGCGTGCCCACCGCGGCACACATGCCATAGGTTTGCCACCACTGCTCTAGAGAAAGAAGTACTCAGAATCCTTGGTTCAACGCAGAGGAACCCTTGACGTAACTTTCCGGACTTGGAACCCCTGCTAAAAATGGCTTTATCTACAATTCATGATACATTATTCTGACAGTCAGAGGTAAGAATGCTCCTGACGCTTGTGGTCATTGGGAAGAATTACCCCCTTACAGATTGCTAAAAAGATCAATGGTGTCAGTGGGAACTTACCTGAGAGGCAAAAATTGCTCACTGCTCAAGGAACCCCTGGCCACCTCTGGAGGAACCCTGGTTGAGAAACCCTGCACTAGACCCACATGCTATCACTGGTTGTTATATAAACAGTATATATTAGTAGGAGGCTTTTTGGTGAAGTGTGTTTTATTATATAAAAATATACAAAGCACACAGTCAGTCACATAGAATAATGGACTAAATTAG